GATAATTCACATGCGTAGCAATATGGGATGGAGCGCCATCCTGCATAAACATCATACCTTCCAACAGATGTTTATCAGTCAGACTAGGAATGATGCAGCTCTGTACACTCAGTGCACTTTGCACCTGCCACACTGACAGTTTGAATAGCTGAACCATGCGTTTCCTTGAAGAAAAAGAGTCCGATTACGATTGATGTGATAAATCCACATCATATAATGACCAATACGATGAAGCAAGGATAAAAAAGTGACAAAGTCTTGAAGGAACTGATTCCCTATCTTACTACAGCTCATTTCATACATGATTCTCATGCAGCAACACTGACATTTTGCAGCCCAGTGCCATAGGTTGTCCATTTTTTGCTACCCCTCTTTTTTTTTTTTTTTTTTTTTTTTTTTTTTCAGTAAACCCCATGTGATTTCAAGTGTGTGTGTCAATTTTTACCTCTTTACCTACATTAGTCTGTGAATTATTGAATTTTCCAATGTTAATGGGCTTTAGGTCACCCTGTATATAGTCTAGGTTAGGTTACTTGAATATGGCAAAGCATACAAGTGCTATTTGCCTAAGGGGACAGATACCTTTGTAGAGGGCTTTCTGGGTAAGATTGGCTAGCATTCATGTTACGCACAGGGAAGAAAATGGCAACCAACCTTGCAGCCAGCCTATCTGCCTGGGATCAAACCTGAGTCAAACTCCCAGTATTCAGCAATCTTAACCATATGGCTACTGGTGAAGCTATTTGTGTGTGTGTCTGTGTGACGAAATAGAGGAAAACACATAGCAGTGTTGTTTGGTGAAGCATGTAGATGGCATATTGAAGAGGAAGAATTCTGATTGTGTAGAATGCTAATTCATAATGAATAGGAATCCTGGGAGTCAAGGCAGATTAAATTTCACTTTTATTTAAATTCCGTTTGTAGCCATAGTTCACTTGGCACTTTAATTGTGCCTGTTTTCAGAACATTTACATTTTTGAATACTATTACGATAGGAAGAAAACACAACGAATTGAAATGTCATCCAAGCAGCAATGGAGATGCAAGTGAAGTGTGCATTTGTCTGATATGGCAGCTCACCAAAGAGAAAGATTGTCTGATATGGCAGCTCACCAAAGAGGAAGTTTATGTTAGAAATGTTTCAGTTCTCAGAGTTTAGGTTTCGAAATAACTATGTCATCAGCATTATGCAAACTTTGTGGCATAGATTAATGTACAAATGGCAGTGTCCAGAAATATTATATTTAGAAAAAAGGGAAAATAACCAAATTAATGTACCAATCAATCAATTAATGTACCAACCAATCAAATGTACAAATGGCGGTGTCCAGAAATATTATATTTAGAAAAAAGAGAAAATAACCAAATTAAAAAAGAGGAAGTAAAGATTTACCCATTAGTTTAAATTATAATTTTGGTATACGTATTTTTTTATCTTACATGTATATAACAAAATCAGAGAGACCATGTGGCTTCTATCTATAGGGGAAAAAAGTTGTGTTTTTCTTCAGGACAAGCAATCGAAACTGTATATCTTATGCGTGCATAATTCTTTTTCTACGTTTTTAGTTATAAAATGTGTAAGCAGTAAAACCGTACGTAATGCAAATATATGAAGGACATACATAATCTGTGTATATAAAAAAAATAAAGCAAAAAAGAAACATACGGAAATATAGTATGATTGCCTTTTCTTAAAATGCACTAAGAAGATTAAGCACGAGTAAAACAAAAGTGCCAATATTGATTAAAAATAATTGCCTTAATTCAGTCATCAGTAATTGCATTCAATAATTAAATCTTGAAAGGAGTGCAAAAATGATGCAGTAGGCAAGATGCAGTATTTTGGAGAAAGCTTTTCTTTTCAATACCCACATTCACAAATTGCCATTAAAGTAAATTGAAAGAGGAGATTTTTTTATTTTTTGTTTGCATACTAGTGCATTGTTGCACATATATGTGTGCTATTAATTTTATCTCTTTATTGTTTTGATTTTTAATAAAATCTGTGTTTGATATAATTTATATTGTATGTAATTCATAATTTTTATAAACATTTGCACCTATAGTTGAATTGATAAATGGTATTCCTTACACCTTTTATTTTTAATTGAGTTAACAAAAGATAAATCATTTGCTATCTTTTAGTATAAGTGTTATTTTTAATAATTTTGTTTTTCTGATGACTGTAATTTATTTTTGGTTCGTAATATGTAGAACCTTCCCCAATCTGAATTTTGTGTAAGTACAGCTTCTTTCTAATCCATTATAATATCGGGAAAAACCAAAATATAGATAATTGATCTATTTTCTAAATATGATTATATTGGAATGTAGGTTTTGTATTTATATGTAATGGAATGCAAGTTTTGTGTTTTAACTTGTTAGAAACTAAATAATTCTACTAACAGAAATGTTATTCTACTATTCTTGAACTTAAATTTGCAGAATTGCTTTATTAAAATAATAATTTTGCTTGCAATACATTTTTTTTTTCTGCAGATGGCAATACTCTTATATATATAACAGTACAAAGTCTTTAATCCGGACGTCCATAACCCAGAATGATCTATAATCCGAACCTCAAAGCTACAAACTTTCTGCACATGCGTTTACGCAGGCTCATAATACTTTTACGAATGTGCATAATATGTTTACGCATGTGCATTTAATGTATAATGGACGATATAGCTAGGCTAAAATTATCTAATTACCTATTTCAGTTAATGTTGCAGATTGCGCCGTTCCTTAATCTTCTAATTGGATTTGGCTTATTATTTTTTGCAGACTGTTAGAGCAATTTTCTAAAAAGTGAGCTTGAAGTTTCGATTAGGTAAAAAAAATTTCCGATTCTGGAGCTGCCAAAGGATATATACAGCAAAAGCATGTTTCGATGTCCATCAAACAAAAAGTGGAATTGCTGTAAAAAATGGATAAAGGCATATCCGCCTCAAAATTATGCGAAGAGTATGACATTGGAAAGTCAAAAATATATGATATACCGCTTCCGATAGTGAAGAAAGTGACAGAGAGGTTATTGAAAACGAAAAAATTTCGATTGACAAGTCAGTCGCTATTCTCGACACAGCAATTACAGAACTTGAATAGTGGAACTTTGTAACTGAACAAGAAATTATGTCTGTTTATAGAATTAAAGAGAAGGTATTATCACAAAAAATGAAGCAACTTACATTGAAAGTAAGTTTAATAAAGTAAACAAATAAATATTAAGCTTTTTTTTTTTTTTTTTTTTTTTTTTTTTTTTTAATTTTGATACCTTTTAGATCATAATTGCTCTTTATTTCATAAATTACGGTTTCATATTTTTAATTTTATAATTTCTGCATGCCATCTTACCAGACTTAAATTCATGATCTATAATCCGGAAAAACCCCTAATCCGGAATTGCCGAAGTCCCAACAAGTCCAGATTAAAGACTTTGTACTATATAATTAAGGGTAAATGGTTTCCTCATTTTAACTAATTACAAAATTAGTGAAACCATTTGGCAGCTTTTCATGCTTGGCAACACAGCATTTTCTGCTTACTTAATGGGAAAGTATCCACTACTTTTTTGTGTGATTTTTGAAATGTTTAAATTCCATTGACTACTTTTATCATGTAGATGTATCAAGTAGATATGTCTTAGTTATATTAAGGTGAAACACATCAGCTGTCTGGCTATTTCATTATATAAGGAAAGGTTTTCTATTAGTATATATTTGTATTAAAAATTAATATGTTCAATATCATTTAAAATTTCTTTGTGTATATTTACAATCTATATTTGTTGTATTTTATAATGATTGAGGAATATTTTATTGTCAAATGTAGCAAGTACAGTCAAAAGTCGTTAATTCGAACACCCATAATTCGGAATGATCTATAATCCGGACCTCAAAACTAAAAACTTTCTGCACATGCGCCGCGTTGACACATGCGCACAGGCGTTTACGCGTGCGCGTAAGACCTTTTACGACTGCGCATGTGAGTGTGCGCAAGTGCAGAATACGTTTTCGCGTGCGCGTTTTATGTATAATGGACGTATAAGCTAAAATTACATAATTATCTATTTCAGTTAATGATGATTGCATTGTTCCTTAATTTTCGAATTGGTTCCGGCTTATTATTTTTTGCAGACTGTAAGAGCAATTTTATAAAAGTAAGTTTAAACTTTCGATTATATCAAATAGAATTTCCGATATATATTTGTTAATATGTAAAGAATCTAAAGCGAAAGTATGTTTTGAAATCCGAAATCTGTTTATCAATTTCACGCTGCTTGGCGGGGGGAACGCCGCGGTGGGCGCGTAATGAATTGGAAGTTGATCTGTCAGCACTATCCTTATCTTCAGCGCAGATGTTTTTATTTTATTTGGCTTATAATTCCTTACCAAATGTAGTATTTCATCTCGATATGCTCCCTCTTTGATATGATTTAAAACAAGTTCCTCGTCATTATAATTCGCTTCCGATAGCGAAGAAAAGTGACAGAGGTTATTGAAAACGAAAAAATTTCGATTGACAAATTAGTCGGTGTTCTCGACACAGCAATTATAGGACTTGAACAGCGGAACTTTGTAACTGAACAAGAAATTATGTCTGTTCAATAGAATTAAAGAGAAAGTATTATCACATGAAACAAAGCAAAACTTAAACAACTTACATTGAAAGAAATGTTTAATAAAGTAAACAAATAAATATTAAGCTTTTTCTTTTTGCAAATTTTGATACCCTTTAGATCATAATTGTTCTTTATTTCATAAATTACGGTTTCATATTTTTAATTTTAGAATTTCTGCATGCCATCGTACGAGATTTAAACTGATGATCTATAATCCGGAATCGCCGAAGTCCCGACGAGTCCGGATTAACGACTTTTGACTGTATTGCATTTGTATTAAATTTGTACCATTTAACCAACCATTAAAATAACCTTGTGTTTTAAAGACTTAGTATTTGCCTCCCTCCTGTTGCTACCCCCTGATCTGTTTTTTAAGGATTGTGCATCAACATGGAATCCATTATCTTCCATTTTTACCAGTACCGGAAATGCACATTTGTCTAACTCTAACATTAACAGTGTGGGAAATCTCGGTGGTCATTCTAGTGCCTTATTAGAGAAAGGAGGTTGGTTTCAAAATTCTTAATTTTATTAAATTATTTTCTGCTAAAGGCTTTCAAAAAGTCTATGATTATACATAAATATTGATGCATAAGATAATGTAATTTATTTGTTAGGTTATATATAAAATAAAGTAATTTATTCCATGCTTTTTTATATATATAATATTTTATACAAATATACTCGTATTAAAAAATCTAGCATTAGAAGTGTTATGTAACTCCCTTTACACTGCATGTAAATTAATTCTTTGTCTGTTATTTCTTTATGTTACAGAGATTCAAAATGACTGAGTTTCAAATGCTTTTATTTTTTTAATTTACTAACATTGAATGACACATATTGCATCAAATTATAGGAAAGCTGTCCTTACTTGTCCCTGAAACTTTCTTCGGTGACATGAACAGTATTAAGACAATAATCATATTCATGCTGTACATGCTTCATACCCTTTGTTGCTATCTCAACAGATTTAGTGGTAGCACTTTTGGGGATAATTTAGGCATTTAAGTGAAAATTGTATGATTGCAACACCCATAATGCATTAAATGACTGAATATCTTCACAGCTTAAGATAGCTGAAAAGCCAGCTGTGGAACACTAAATTATCAGACCTACTGTGACTTATCTAAAATGCATATAGGCCAAAGAAGCACTCCAGTAATAAAGTATGACCTTGTGAAATGACAATCTTATGAACAAAAATTTATTTTGTGGACCAAAGTATTCTAAATTTCAGAAATTTTCTTTTTGTTTGATATATATCAACTGAGTGCCTTCTTACTAGGTAAAGAATTATACTCACCTGAAATTGTATAAATTATTGTGATTAAATCTTTGATATATGCGAAATCACGTAAAAAAACTGGATGCTTCACTCATTAACTAGTACTGTACAAAAAAATATATATAGTATGTCCAAGAAACATCATTATTGTTATGTAAATTCATAATGCAAAAACAAAACAGTGTATTGAAATGCACTTTGGAACAAAAGAAAAAATATTACAAATTATGATTACATTGCTATTATTTTATTACAAAACTTCATTGCACTAAAGCTAAAACTGTTTAGTGTATATTCAGTAGATTTGAGTATTAAGTTGCATGAAGATTTTCTAAACTTTGATGATTTAAATTTGTGTGTAATAGTGTTCACTGGTTTCCTCAATGTCCTATTTGAATATAATATTTTCTGATTGACAGATTCGTCCTTTTTCATGGACAACTGTAAGCTGTTGAATGCTAAACACTTCTTGAATATTTAAACTTGTGCACTCAAGGAGAATTGCAAGTGCACTTGAAATTATCATTGCGTCTGTAGAGTTTTCTTTGAACAGTTATGGGAAGTTTTGTTTCAGCTAACTGTAATATAGAGTTTGCATTTTCTTGCATAATTATTGAACCATTAGTAGAACCTATTCAACACTTTTATCAAACTGTGCTAAAAAAGTGATTTTTGAATCTTTTCGTCTGCAAACTGCATTTCTATAGGCTGTTTCTGTTTTTGTGTTCTGCACTTTTATAATAATTTAGATCTCTCTCTCTTTGAGACTCTAAATTATGTGTCAAATCAGATAAAGAGCTTTATGTTTTAAAATAATGCACCTCTTCTACAAGAAGTAGTTTAATGTATGTTATGGGGGTGTTATCTGTATGTAATTTTTTCGGTGTTAATGCTGTTATGAAAATGCAAAAGAAAACTCGAAAGTGCAATGAAAGTTAATTAGTAGCTATTATGGAAGGAAAGTTAATATGTATTCAGGAAAATTATGACGAAGGCAAATGAAAGGTACAAGGGGAAGAGCCCTTACTGTAGATCAGATACAAACAGGAAGGGTAAAATAAAAAGCTGAATGTGATTAAGAACATACTATATACATATGTAATTAAAACATCCGTGTTTCAAATGACAGTGCAGATAATTTATTACTATTATTAAAACTCAGTTTCCCTTTCTGAAATTACTATTATTACTTTATTTCTATTGATAAAGTAAAAAATGTTGCTTAACACATTGACACCAGCCTGACCCACGGGTGGGTCATACCTGTCTTTTCCATGGGACAGCATGACCCACCGGTGGGTCATGCTTGATTGTTCCCCGGGCCGCCATGACTCACCAATGGGTCATGCTTGTATATCAAAAAATACGGAGTACAAAATTTTATTTTAATTATTCAACAGTATACATTAACATTTCAACATTATAATCAAACATTCAATACAAAACAAGTAACTTATAAATTAAATATAATTATTAATTTTATCTATGCAATTTTTTAAAGCAGGCTAAACAAAGTGCTGACTTGCCCATATAATTATCACAATATGTTGTCACTTTTATTGCTCTATTCGCCCCACGAAACGAACCGCTAATCCAAGCACCGCCACACGAAAAGGACAATAAATATCCACGCTGCCGTCAGCTTGTTAAACTACTATTTAACATGCACAGTGCATCCTTTTTAATTCCTGTTTGTAGTATTATTTAAATACATCTATTTTACTACGAACTGCAATCTTGCATTTTTATATAAAATAATTTGATTATATTATAAACCATTTTGAAACAGTTTAGCTGGAAACAGAATAAAAGTTTATTTAGATAAATTTATGATGTAATTCATTCTCCAAACAAGTTTTTTATAAATTAATTACTTTTGAGAATGAATGCTTATTTTCTGTATAGTTCTAAAATTTTATCAAAGTCATTATTAATGACTTGTAACATTGCTAAAGTAATATAAAAAAAATGAAAAAGAAAAGCATTCTAAAGGGTGCAGTAGATTTATAAGATCATGCAAGATGCAGTTGTGAGAGGTCCTGTGTTTCAAGGGGTGTCAAAAAGTTCAAGTGATGTAGGTACCTCATTTTATAAATCCACATTTGGCTGAAGAGGCAATAAAGAGATGCTGAGCCACCAGTGGACAATAAGAACATGCTTGAACATTTTTATTGCCTGGATGTCTTTGAAGCGATCACATAAATATTCCTTTCATTGCACAAGCATCGGAGTCATGCTTCTTTAAAGTGACTACAGAAAATCATGCCAATTTGTCCTGTGTGCATGTTAGTCCCAGCTGCATCTGTGCTAGGTTTGATTTTCATTTCAGACGAACATACAAATTATAACTTTAGTCTAGATCTTTTTTGAAAAACAATACCAAGTGTTTCTACTTGTAGAATGTGTAGTTTATCTTGTGCATATTCTTATAAGTTAGTATTCATGCAGTTGCAGAATCTATGCATTTTGCCCAACATAACCATTACCTGAGAAAAGCACATTTGGCTGAAGAGGCTCTACCTTTAATCACTACCAAATTTGGCTCTATCTTTAATCACTACCAAAATGTCTTAGGATTTTATGATCTGTCTTTAATTGAAAATTTATTGTAGTGCAATAAATAGGCACCTAAAAATGTTCATGCATATCCGGCCATTGCCTTTAGGTTAAGGGATATCTTATATATCATTATTGCAAGGTTAGAGGTGTTAGAAGGCAAAAAACTTTTGACTCTAAAAAGGGGCGACAATGAAAGAGAAAAATAAAATGTTCAGGAGCTATGCATTTAAAAATAGGAAGATGTGATTTAAATTTTTTTACACAACAGTTTTTTTTTTGGGGGGGGACCGATTTCATATGTGTATAATAACTCATTATGCATAGGGTTAAGCTTTAAATTAATAATTTGTGTGTAAGGTTTTTAAAGTGATTTCAGTGAAGTTTAGCCCATAAAACAAAAAAGGAATTCATCTAGCTCATTCTCTTGAATGAATTCACTTTTGTTTGGTATTTAAATGCTAGAAGTAAAAAAATAATAATAAACATGAAAACAATGCATACAGGTTAAAATTAATTGAAATTTTAATCATGTAAGATTAAAATAATAAATTAATTAATTAATTTCAGAAAAAATGTAAAATTTTTCATTTCATATAATAATTTCATCAATTATATGTAATATACATATCTGTGAATGTAATACCAACTACCCATTTAATATCTTGACTTTTAAAAGGCACGTTTTTGTTTAATTAATGTAACAGAACCTGAAGAGTAAAAAACTTGGCATTCTAATATGCATTATCTACTTTGACCTGAGTCAATGCTAAGTCTGGTCCATCAGACTTTTCCATGCAATCTGTATAGATACATTAGTGCACTCTTTCTTGAATTCTGTAGTATTGCATTCCATATGCATGTATAATAGTAATTTATCACAACTTATGCGTGTAATTGCTCAAAGAAGGCAGAGGGAGAATATTTTATTAAATAATAATAAGTGCATGTGTATTATTAAGCAATTAATTCACAGTTATAAATAAGTATACATAATAATGTAACCAAACACACCTGAAAATCTTCTGCATCGGTCAACTTTGTGTCATGACCTACTACTAAGTGAGAACTCCCATGTTAGGAACCATTGTGTTCAAGAAATGTTTAACATTTGTAGTGCTGATCTTATTTGCTGTGCTACAGTGATACTTATTTTGTGTTTTATTGTGCAATCTTGCTTATTATCTGGATGGAATATGACCCTATATACCTTAGCAGAAGTGGTTAAAAAAATAGGTACAGTACAAAGTCCGTAATCCGTCCCGAACATTTTATTTTAATCATTGGGGGCGATTCTGGATTAAGGGTTTTTCCAGATTAGATCATCAATTTAAATCTGGTAAGATGGTGTGCAGAAATTATACAATTAAAAATATGAAACTGTAATTTATTATGATCTAAAGGGTATCAAAATTTACAAAAAGCTTAATATATATTTGTTTACTTTATTAAAAACATTTCTTTCAATGTAAGTTGTTTAAATTGCATCATTTTTTTGTGCTAAACGCACAAGCGTAAACATTAAATGCGCATGCGTAAAGCATAAAAAAATATTGGGACTTTGAGGTCCGGATTATAGATCATTCCAGATAATGGACGTCCAGATTACAAACTTTGTACTGTATTGGCTTTCTAGGTACTTTATCGTGAGCTTTTTCTTGTATTTTTAGTCTTAGTAGATCTATATCTTCATCCTTACTATAGTAGTTGTGAGTAATCATATATCAACTGATATCATTTTCCTTCCCTGACTATAATTAATCTCTTGTATGATGAATTAGTATTGAAAGGGTGAAATATAGTAGATTGTTTAGATTGTGGTCGGTCAGTTCTAGCTTCAACAGTTGATCAAAATGTACAACATTCATATTACTTACAGGGCTGACATTTGTTTTTGGACATTTGTATTTTTTTAAATTCATTTATATGGATCTCATGCTAAGCACTAAAACACAGACTTGAAATTTTTTTCTGTTTTTGAAGCCTTGATTGCTGTAAAATAAATATTAAAATTTTCCTTACAATAAAATAATTTGTTCAAAAAGTATTAATCAGCAACTCACATAATCATTCAAACACTCCAAATTATTTTTTTTAGATATTTTGGTAGATAATGTCTCTTGCTGTACTTTTTTGTTTTAAAAGAAAATATGTCACATGAATTATAATCTGCATTTAGAAATTATTACTTGTTTAGGAAAACATTAATATTTCCAATATAAACATTTCAAGACATTACAAATTAATGACCAATTCAGTTAGAAATTTAGTAATTCGTCTTGTTAAATGTTGTAAAAGCATTTAAAATGTGTAGACAGTAAGCTGTTGAGTGCTAAACACTTCTTGAATATTTAAACTTGTGCACTGAAGGAGAATTGCAAGTGCACTTGAAATTATCATTGCATCTATAAGCGTTTTCTGTGTGTTCAAAATAAAGTATTTAACTATCTTTGTAATACTTTACATTTAGTTAAAGTAAATGTAAAGTATTTAACTATCTTTGGTGTTATAAATGATAGAATTTGCGTGGAACCATTGAAAATACAGGATGGCTGGACCACATTCCAAGCTAATACCAAGAAATCGCAGGTATATTCTACAAAAACATCAAGTAAGAGTAAAAAATTAGTGCTTTAAAATATTCAGTAGATTTAGAACAATGGTTTGCAATAAAGGTTAACTCTGAAAGTTTTAGAAAAGCCATTTAGGGCATATGGATACAGTGGGCCAATAGCGACAAGAAAATACTTTGGCAATAGCAGAATGAAAAAAATACACCTGGCTTTTGCAAAATCTATAGTAAGCTATGTTTTATCATATTGTGGAACAATGTTATATTTGCAGAAAAATCAAAATTTAATATATTTAGATCAGATGAACAAATTAATATATGGCAAAAGCCGAATTAATAATTGAATTCGAGAAACCTATTGCCTAGTGTTGTGCGTTGTGTTTTGGGGATGGGGATGTTTTGCTGCCTTTGGAATAAGGAAGTCAGTGTTTATCGAAAATTATATGGATTAGTATGAATATATGAATATTCTTAATTGAGCACCTGAAAGCATCTACAGGAAAACTTGAAACACAAAAAACACTCAAGTTCTGTCTGGATAATTATCCTAAACATATAGCCTTAAATATTCACTCATGGTTATTATACAAATGTCCTGAAATTACCAAAGCTCATTTTTATTATTCAGAGTTAAATCCTGTTGAGCATGTATGCAACAAGTTGGAAAAAAGAATAAGGAGACATGGTATTTTTTCACAAGCTCTACTGAAAGCAATTCTTATGGGGGAATGGAACAAAATGGAGCATTCTTACACAAAACTATTATTTGAACTTCATTTTCAAAACATTAAGAACTTCTTTCAAGACTAACAGGTTTTTAAATTATATCATCAATACTATATCTGAAAAAATTAAAGTCATTTTTCTTATATTTGATAACTGATATGTCCAAACAAAACTGACAAACAAAAATGTCCATAAATAAATGTGAGCCACTGTATATAATAAGGCATTGATATCCCTCATTTTCTTCTTCTAGTAATGCAAAATCTGTATTTCTATAAAATTATAAAGAAGTGTTGCAGTATTTTTAATGTATTGATCATGTATTTGAAGATGATATTTTTTGTAAATCACAGCAATCTCCTGGAAAGGCTTAGAAGGAAATTTGACAGAAAGACTAGATGATCCAGAAGTTGAAAGACAACATCTCATTTCTTTTATGGGTGAGTTGTTTTATACTTGAATATACACTGGTGTGCAAAAATTAAGGATGAAGTCGAAAAATTAGCATATCAGCTGAACGAAGAGGCAGAGCGGACAGAAAGACCAATCAGGAGATTAAGTAAGGTGATGTACGGTAGCACATGCGCAGATATGCAGGTAGACGTAATGGGGGAGTGTCTGAGTAGTATAAAGCATTGTTGTCGGTGTAAGATCAGTATTTCTGGCAAAGAGATTGCACGCCATATAGCAGTTAAAATCACACCGAGTTGCTGCCTCAGCGAGAAATGGCGAATAATCATTCTGTTAGACGACATCTGGATGCTTTTACCCGAGGTCGAATCATTGAGAAGTTGGAGGAAGGCCGCAGTGTGACAAGTGTGGCTGCAGAGTTCAGAATTGCTCTCAGCATCGTTTCACGACTTTGGAGACAATTTCAAACTACAGGAACAGCTATCCAGGGGTTTAGTAGTGGTCGTCCATGAGGAACCACACCCGCAGATGACCGGTATATTGCCTTACAGGCCAGAAGAAACAGGCGGCGGCAGACAGCGGGAGAAAAGAGAAAAAATCTAGCTAGACACATGACATAGGCGACTGGACGACCGATATCGCGTTTTACCGTGGCCAGAAGACTGCACGGTGGTGGTCTGTTTGCACGACGCCCTGTACGGTGTGTACCTCTAACACCTGCCCTTCGGAGAAGGCGTTCTCTGTGGTGCCGGGAACACCGGAATTGGAGAGACAATGAATGGGAACGAGTACTCTTTACAGATGAGAGCAGATTCAGTCTGAGTAGCGATTCTCATCGCATACTCATCTGGAGAGAGCGGGGATGCGGCAATCATCCCTCGAACATCATTGAAAGGGACAGGTATGGAGGTGGCGGTGTTCTCGTTTGGAGAGGCATCATGCTTGGTAGTCGAACAGACCTTCACATCTTCGACGCAGGTTCAGTCAACTGGACTCGTAATTGTAATGAGATTCTTCTTCCAATTGTAACTCGTAATTGTAATGTGCGTCTTTTTAGAGGCGATATGGGTCCGCAGTTCCTTTTCATGGACGACAATGCACCATGTCATCGCACAATAGCTGCCGAACAGAGAGTGGGGATATTGAACGTATGGATTGGCCGGCATGATCTCCGGATCTCAATCCCATCGAGCATGTATAGGATTTTCTAGGCAGACGCTTGGCAGCTCGTACCTTACCACCAGTAATGATTCCGGAGCTTCGATTGGCGTTTCAAGACGAATGGGCAGTAGTGCCTTAACAACTCATTGACACCCTCATTCTCAGCATGGGCAGATGCTGTGAAACCTGCCTAGCAGTCAGGGGAGATCATATCCCCTATTAAAGACCGGATATTTCTTGCTGGACACCCATCACAGGGATGTTTCGGCCTTCAGTCGCATTGCGCTCCATGCTTCTTTTTCAATAAAGCTTCTTTTTATCCCTCTGATTTCTCTTTTAGTAAGTGTTGCTTACATTACTCATGTCCTTACGTATTGGGGCATCGAGCATGTATGGGATTTTCTAGGCAGACGCTTGGCAGCTCGTACCTTACCACCAGTAACGATTCCGGAGCTTTGATTGGCGCTGCAAGACGAATGGGCAGCAATGCCTCAACAACTCATTGACACCCTCATTCTCAGCATGGGCAGACGCTGTGAAACCTGCCTAGCAGTCAGGAGAGATCATATCCCCTATTAAAGACCGGATGTTTCTTGCTGTATACCTATCACAGGGATGTTTCGGCCTTCAGTCACATTGTGCTCCATGCTACTTTTTCAATAAAGCTTCTTTTTATCCCTCTGATTTCTCTTTTTAGTAAGTGTTGCTTACATTACTCATGTCCTTACGTATTGGGGATCTTACGGTATTAAATGTGTTGATTTGGAAAGCTTTTGTACAAAGTTATATTGAAAAAACCGTCTCGTCCTTAATTTTTGCACACCAGTGTATATTCTGCAAAAGATATTGATAATGATGTTTTCTTAAATAATGTCCCTTTTACCAATTCATGAAGAATTATCTGTTAGCAGACCGTTCTTCTAAGAAACTATATGTTTTACAAATTTAGCTACATGAAGCAATATTTTGCTGTTTCTTTTCTAATGCTATTGTTTCTAAATTAAGAATTCATAATATTTATTCTAATTAAGAAATTTGTATTTCATAGCATATGAATATTTTAAGCATTCCTTTATTCACAAAATTAAAAAAAAAAAAAAAGTTAATAAAGAATAACTAGAAAGCAGTCAAAACTAAGAGCATAGTATCCTTAAAATATAGCATTCTAAAATTATTTTTTAGCGTATTGCAAGAATTTTTTTAAGTGGCAGCATTATTTCTTATTATTCCCAACTAAATTGTCTGTCTGATCACACCCACTATACATAGATACTGTATTTCGCCACCAGATCATTTGCCTATCTGACCAGAGTGCTTCTCCATCTGTGAAAATGTATTTCACATTCTGCAGCTCACATTATTTTATTATTATTATTATTATTATTGTAACCCCTAATTAACTTTTTGCTGTGTTATGTTCTAAAGGTGATGAAACTGCTGAATAAAAACATAAAATATATAGTCCACACACAAATGTTATATTCTTAATGTTTATTAAGTTAAATTTAAGGTACTGCAATGTAACATATTTTGGTCCATCCCATTTGCCGAAGTTTCAAGATAAACGCATGCTTGTGAATAGGTATTCTTCGTCATTATAATGTTGCTGATACTTTCGTTTTTGAAAGTCAATAGTTATGCAATGGATGCAGTGTATGAGGTGAGTGAAAACTTTAATTGCATTTGACCTTTATTATTGCTTATTGTGATTGAAGTATTCCTAAAATCAAGAGTTTAGAATATTTTCAAAATGTCTCATAAAGAAAAGCAGAAGCAAGTTTTGAAAACACAGTTAACAAAATCCATCAAGAAAATAGATTATGATAGCTTAGATAATCCTGAAGCAGAGATAAACTTAGAAAAGTGTAAAATCTTTTAGGAAGATTTCAAATCTATGTTTAAAGAAATTTACATAAATTGTGATAATGATAAAATAGACACTTTGTGATAATGATAAAATAAACACTTTTGTTTAGGAAGAACAGTCGATTTCAGAGAAGATTGAGGAGGTTCAGTTAAAAATTATTCGTAAATTAAAGAAAATAAATTGTAAATACAAATGGCGCCAAATCCGCTGTACTGGTATCAATCACTGAAATTTTAAAGTTGCCAAAATTACCTTTACCCACATTTAGTGGAAATTCAACAGAATGGATAGCTTTTAAAGATTTGTTTAACACTAGTTTTTGCAATAATCCTTGTCTTTCTGGAGCTCAAAAATTACAATATTTAAAAGGTTCTGTGAAAGATGATGCTTATTGTATTATTCAGTCAATTCGTATAGTTGTTTAGAATTTCACTATTGCTTGGAATTTGCTAGAAGAGAAATTTTCTAGTAAAAGAGAGCAGATATTTTCTTATATTAAAAGCATTCTTAACATTTCTCAAATACAAACAGAATCTGCATTCTCGATATTAAATTTAGTGGATAATGTAAACGAAATAACTCAATCATTGGAACTACTAGATCAAAAGATAGATCATTTTATTGATACTTTGTTGATGTATATTATTTTGTAAAAACTCAATGTTTCAATAAAGTAATGGTAGTAGAGTTAGTTAAGAAGAAAGACAAGGTGGCGAAGTGACGTGTAAGAATTCTAGAAGAATTATGCTAGAACATTACAGAACAGTAAATCTAGTAAATCAAAATCGCAATAACAACCTTGTATTTAGCGTACATATATTAAAACACTCAATCGATTTCGAGGGCAGCTAAAGATCCCTCCTCATCAGAAGAATGAAATTACTAGAAAGGGAGAAAAAGAAGAAAAATAAAGCATTGGCAAAGGAGTCTCAGAACCACGTGGTCGTTATCAGCACTGCACGTGGTGGTAAGCACTGCATGTGGTCATACCAAATGAATCCGGTTAGTAAAAAGGGGGAACCGGATGAATCCGGTTACGACCACGTGTTTTCTGAGACTCCTTTGCCAATGCTTTATTTTTCTTCTTTTTCCCCCTTTCTAGTAATTTCGTTCTCCTGATGAGGAGAGACCATTATCAGCCCTCGAAATCGATTGAGTGTTTTAATATATAAATACTAAATACAAGGTTGTTATTGCAGTTTTGATTGTCACATTGGTGTGTTTCTCTTCTATTCTAAATCTAGTAAAACCATAAACCAGATGAAGCAGTGTATAATGGGGTTACTTCTCTGGTTAATAATTCTACTTGCTTATTTTGTATAAAAGATAATTTTTTACCCAAGTATTCTAATTTTCAGAAAGTTCAAAAACGAATAGAATTTATTGAGGCTAATAGATTTTGTTTTAATTTGCTTCTCTAATGCCCCATACAGTTAAAGTGTTTAGAAGTGTAAATGCTTATAAACATTGTTTTAAACATCATCATAGCATTCTTCACCTAGAAAATAATTTCAAACCAAAAAACGCATCTAATTTCCCTTCACTGGAACACAAGTATTTGTTCCAAAATCAAAAATGAAAACAGAATACGAGTTGAGTGAGGTTTCTCCAACTGTTTGTATGATCAACTATGAAAGTAACCGATTTGAAGCTCATGCTAATGGTAAACACAGTCATGTACTCTTGTGTACTACTTTAATTAAAGTTCAAAACTCAAAAAATGAATTCATAAATTGTAGATGTATGCTGGATTCAGGTAGGAAAAAATCGTTCATTTGTCGGGGAAGAGCTCTCAGTTTAGGATTGAGCATAAAAGATTCGAAGATATTACTTTCATGTTTAGGAACTTTCAGTACCACAACTAATAGGAGAAGTTGACTTGTTGTTTACACCTTATTTTAATACTAGCTATAGAATTTCTATGTCCATTTGCATAGGAAAACATTCCAAATGTAACATTAAATTTTTATGAAAGTTTCCAAAATTTAATTTTAGCAGAGC